AATAATGATAAACAGTGATCTTATAAAGGGTTAACACAGCCTCTTGATGCCTCCTGGAGCAGTACGAAACATCACAGCATGTGAGAAATAACTTTCAAAACTCTCTGCTGTATAAAAAACCATCAGTGTTGTTAAAGGCTGCCCCCACCTTCTTTTATGAAACCCAGAATAACCGCTCACCTGTTTGGTCTCTCCAGCACCTCCCCCTCCCTCCCGCAACTGCAGCTGCGCAAACCCCGTAAGTAGACTGTTTTCCTTAAAGGCCTCAGGGTGATCATAGCTTCTTTTAGTCTTTCAACCAAAATTTTTAGAGTTCGGCTAGGGGGAGGGGTAGCTCACCCTAATTTCACTTAGCGCCGTTTAATCTCGGCTTCCTAGACCAGGGGACAAAAAACAAATTCGAGAGGCAGTTTCTGTAAGACTAGAAAGCAGTTCTGTAGGTGCTGGGGTATCATTGGTGCCAAAGGAATGCACAGTCCTTAACGGGGATGGGAAAGGGGTTGATCGCAGACGAAATGGGTAATACTTTACATGAAATTCATAGCGAAAATCCTAGAACAGGACATTTAAATTCACTGCGTGAGATGGACTGGGTGGGGAACTGCAATCGGAAACGACGCTTGTGTTTTTTAAATGCGTCTTTACTTGGGAAAGCAGGGCAGGGAAAGAAAGGTCATCGTCTGTTTGATTTCCACCCCCGGCCTCGGACTTCCAGCCTTAGCTCTCGGCGGCCTCAGCTGTTGTACACACACAGAGGGGAGGGGGGAAGGGAGGGTGGAGGCGTGGAGGAGGGGCTGGCTGGGAGGAATCTGGGCGCCCTGCCGCGCATGCGCCTTTCCGGAGCAACAAGTGGGCTCCACAGACAGAGGAAGTGTAAAGGGGGGTGGGGGGGACTGGTGCAGAGCATGGCGGTGACGTCAGCGCTCCGCCCGGGCGGCATCCCGCGCGGCCAAGCTGGGGACAGCGCGAGCCGCAGCCCGAGAAGGAGCGCCGAGACGCGCCTCCGGAACGTAGAGTAACAATCACAACCCCACATTCCGGGCAAGCGCGAGCGGGAAGGGATGCAACCCGGGCGGAGGCGCCGCGCGAGCGCCCTGCAGCCAACGTGAGCGCTGCGACCCTTGGCGGCCGGGGCGCCCGTCAGGCCAGGGGGCGCCGGGAGCCTGAGTGCGTGCGCTCCTCTCCTCTCGTGCGTCCTGGAAGCGGTGGCCGCGGCAGGTCCCTCCGGCGTGCAAACTCTGCCGCCACCAGCGGAACGGCTGACCCTACGGAGAGGAGAAGCTCCTCTCACGGCTGCCACCTCCCTCCCCAGGCCCTCCGGGGAAGCAGCGGCTTCAGCAAGACTGGACCCGGGCAACGGGTGGCACAGCCCTCTAGCCCTGGCCCCAGGGTGCCTGGCGGGGAGAGGACGAAGCTCGTAGGGGGCCCCCGGGGGAGAGGAAGAGACAGCCCCCTCTGCGCGTCCACGCACCAGCCGCTCCGGGGAGGGGGCCCAGAGGCAGCGGCGACCGGCACCGGACACCCTCGCCCCCTCCCCCTGGGCCCGGCGCGTCCAGCCCCGACCCGCGACACCAGGAAGAAGGCGCCTGAGCTCTCCCGACGCGACAGCCGCAGTAGGAGGTGGGGGCGAGGAGCGCGTACAGCCTGTCGCCGCCCGGGCAGTGGGGCCCTCGTGGAGAGGCGCTGCGCCCGCGGTGGAGACTCGCGTTCCCTCCAGCCCCTGGGGCAGAACTTTCTCGCCCCCTCTCCCTCCCCCGCAGCCGGACTCCCTCCCCAACCAGCCAGTCCTCCCGGAGGAGAAGGCGCCGCGGAGACAGCCCGGGCGGGGGCCTACTTTCCCCAGGGCTGGCATCATGTCGGCAGCGCAGGTGTCCTCGTCCCGGAGACAATCTTGCTACCTGTGCGACCTGCCCCGTATGCCCTGGGCCATGATCTGGGACTTCTCGGAACCCGTGTGCCGCGGCTGCGTCAACTACGAGGGCGCCGATCGCATAGAGTTCGTGATCGAGACAGCGCGGCAGCTCAAGAGGGCTCACGGCTGCTTCCAGGAGGGCCGCTCCCCGGGGCCGCCGCCGCCCGTGGGGGTCAAGACGGTGGCCCTGTCGGCCAAGGAGGCGGCGGCGGCGGCAGCAGCAGCGGCTGCTGCAGCGGCCGCAGCGCAGCAGCAACAGCAGCAACCGCAGCCTCCGCAGCAGCTCAACCACGTCGACGGGTCCAGCAAACCCGCGGTGCTAGCGGCTCCCGCCGGCCTGGAGCGCTATGGCCTGAGCGCGGCTGCTGCCGCCGCCGCCGCCGCCGTCACGGTGGAGCAGCGCGGCCGCTTCGAGTACCCACCACCGCCGGTGAGCCTGGGAGGTGCCGGCCACGCCGCGCGGCTGCCCAATGGTCTGGGGGGCCCCAACGGCTTCCCCAAGCCGGCACCGGAGGAGGGACCCCCGGAACTGAACCGTCAGAGCCCCAACTCATCGTCAGCAGCAGCGGCTTCGGTGGCATCTCGGCGTGGGACACACGGGGGACTGGTGACTGGGCTGCCCAACCCGGGGGGTGGCGGGGGACCCCAGATCGCCGTGCCCCCCAACCTTCTGCCGCAGACGCTGCTTAACGGCCCGGCCAGCGCGGCTGTATTGCCCCCGCCCCCACCCCACGGGCTGGGCACTCGTGGGCCCCCCACGCCCGCTCCACCTGGGGCACCCGGGGGTCCTGCCTGTCTCGGGGGTGCCTCGGGCTCATCGGTGGCGGCGTCTTCTGCGGCGTCTTCGACCTCATCGTCGGTGGCAGAGGTGGGCGTGGGTGCTGGTGGCAAGAGGCCCGGGTCGGTGTCGAGCACCGACCAGGAGCGCGAACTGAAGGAGAAGCAGCGCAACGCGGAGGCCCTGGCCGAGCTGAGCGAAAGCCTGCGCAACCGCGCAGAGGAGTGGGCCAACAAGCCCAAGATGGTCCGGGACACACTGCTCACGCTGGCAGGCTGCACGCCTTACGAGGTGCGCTTCAAGAAGGATCATTCGCTCCTAGGCCGTGTCTTTGCCTTTGATGCTGTCTCCAAGCCTGGGATGGACTACGAGCTGAAGCTATTCATTGAATACCCCACCGGCTCAGGCAACGTGTACTCCAGCGCGTCCGGTGTGGCCAAGCAGATGTACCAGGACTGCATGAAGGACTTCGGCCGGGGTCTATCCTCTGGTTTCAAGTATCTGGAGTACGAAAAGAAACATGGCTCCGGGGATTGGCGCCTGCTTGGGGACCTGCTGCCCGAGGCCGTGCGCTTCTTCAAGGAGGGCGTGCCCGGTGCAGACATGCTGCCCCAGCCCTACCTGGATGCCAGCTGCCCCATGCTGCCCACGGCGCTGGTGAGTCTCAGCCGCGCCCCTAGCGCACCTCCGGGCACGGGGGCCCTGCCCCCTGCCACTCCGTCGGGCCGGGGCACAGCCTCTAGCTTACGCAAGAGGAAGGCATCCCCAGAACCCCCGGACTCCGCCGAGAGTGCCCTGAAGCTGGGCGAGGAACAGCAGAGGCAGCAATGGATGGCAAATCAGAGCGAGGCACTGAAGCTCACCATGTCCGCGGGGGGCTTTGCGGCACCGGGGCATGCGGCTGGGGGTCCGCCTCCACCACCCCCACCCCTGGGACCCCATTCTAACCGGACCACCCCTCCAGAGTCCGCCCCCCAGAACGGTCCATCCCCCATGGCTGCCCTTATGTCGGTGGCAGACACTCTGGGCACGGCGCACTCGCCCAAGGATGGCAGTTCCGTGCACTCTACCACTGCGTCCGCGCGGCGCAACAGCAGCAGCCCAGTGTCGCCCGCCTCCGTGCCGGGGCAGCGCCGCTTGGCATCACGTAACGGGGACCTGAATTTACAGGTGGCGCCCCCGCCGCCTACCGCCCACCCGGGCATGGACCAAGTGCACCCCCAAAACATTCCGGATTCCCCCATGGCCAACAGCGGACCCCTCTGCTGTACCATTTGCCACGAACGTTTGGAGGACACACATTTTGTTCAGTGCCCATCTGTCCCCAGCCATAAATTTTGCTTTCCTTGCTCTAGAGAGAGTATTAAGGCCCAGGGGGCCACTGGTGAGGTGTATTGCCCCAGCGGAGAGAAATGCCCCTTAGTTGGGTCGAATGTACCTTGGGCCTTCATGCAGGGCGAAATTGCGACTATCTTAGCTGGGGATGTTAAAGTGAAAAAGGAGAGAGACCCTTGAACCACAGGGCAGCCACTTCCTTTGCCCTAGACCAGCTCCTCTCCAAGCCAGAGGGCCCCTCACTCCAGCTCCACCTTCCCTTCCCTCACCCCCAAGATGTAGAATTGTGAATATAACTGCAAAAAGTTAGTCTTATGTATAGACATTATTTTCGTCGTATGTTTCTATATTTTGAAACAAAGGTATGTAACTTCTTCATTTGAAGGATAAGCTGGTTTGTGTTAAGCAGTATAATATTGGTTGGGTCATTTGCATCATATTCGTTAGCATTTATTTGGTGGCAGAATGTTTGCCTAGGTACAAAATTAATAGCCTTTAGCAACGACTGCTGCTGGTGTGTATTTTTGTAAATGTTATGCACTCTGAAAGGAAAAACACACAAAAGAAAAAGACTTTTTTTGCCAAGGCCAGTGTTGCTGCCTAAAAAATGATGCTATAAAATGGTGAAAGCATCTTTATAAACAGCCCCAAGTGTTGAAGTCTTCATTTTATTTTCTGTTCTGTTTTGTTTTGTTTTCTTGTTTTGTTTGCAAAATGGTAAGGGAGGTGTTGGGGGGATGGGGTGTTTTTTGTTGCAAGTTTGTGAGGGGAAAATGTTTTGGTTTGTTTCTACTGACCTGAATGTGTTGGATCTTCATGTGTTGTTTTGTTTTTGCTTTATTGATGCACGGATGCTTTTGAACCGTAGAGCGAAATGCTAGACATGGAGAATCTGCTCTGTTTGTCCTTTATACATTTCTGTAGTTAACAGAACACTGTAATGTGCCTTGGAGCTTAGTAACTTGTAATAAATTCAATTGATATTAATTCTTCTGGGAGTCAGCAAGTTTGTCTTTCTAGGGCAGAGGGCACAGGACTCCAATTCAGGGACATCCTCCCTATCTCCAACCTAGGACTGGAGCACTTGTCCCTTTGTAAGTCCTCAGAACCGGCCAGTGAGGAAGGCCGGGTGCTGCCTGGCTGCTCCTCCCCCTCGTACCAGGCTATTTACATTCACCTCTTGGGAGGCGACACTTGCTGACTAAGCGATTTCTGTTTACTCTTCAGCGTCTATTTTCCCCCGGATGTGGGGCCCAGCTGCAAATGGCATTGTCAGGAATGCTTTTTGGTGTCTCACCCTGTGGCCACGAGTGTGTACTGATGCTACCGCAGCTATGACTTGACAATCGGGAGGGGGCACCTAGCAAAAAGCTCAAGTGCTTTGCCTCACGGCAGAATAACCTGCACATTTAAAACAATGTCACAGAGCTGGGAGCTGCCAGGGAAAAGGGCTGTGGGCCACTGGGAAGTAAAGTACGCAGGCTGGAGGATCCCAGCAGCTTCTGGCTGATGTGATGGAAAAGCAGTTGTCATCACATTGACCTCATGCCCCCTTCCCTTAAGCATTTCTAAAGACAGGACACTTCTAAAGACAGGACACGTAACTGATCCAAACAGGATTTGGGGGATGAACAAGGGGCGGGGGAACCCAAAGCCTGCTTTTGAAGCAAGAGCAACAAATAGAACCCATTCCTAGTAGTTAAGTAAGGCAAGTATTCATCTAAACTTTTTTGGCGGCCTCAGTAAAGCGCCTAAGGGTGGGAAAGGGGACAAGAGAATGGTAATGCCTTTTAGAGCTGAGATCCGAGACCAGGCCGAGAGCTGTGGTTAGGCAAACAAGCCTGGTTGAACCTTGTACTTTACTGGAAGCAAATACACGAAGAGTAGAAAACAGAAAGGAGGAAACAAAACAAAACTCGGCGATCCTATCTGAAATTCATTCCTGGCCACACCCCACGCCTGGGCGGGGCCAGCCAGGCTCGGGCTGCGGGGCCAAGGAAGGAGGAATAGGTAGAAAAGCTTGGTGCCCCCACCCAACTCCGTGGCGGGAGGAGCAGACCGGGAGAAGGGTGTGGGCGCAGGCACGTTTGAAAACAATCACAGGTTAACCTGGAACACCGGTGTGGAAGCTGGGTCGGTGTTGGGACTTGCTGTTAATAACACACTTTAGTTTCTGTCCCTGCTTTTGCTACCACCATGTTTGAAGTGGTACAAAACCAAGGTGTGTGTGTGTGTGTGTGTGTGTGTGTGTGTACCCGCGCGTGCCTGTTTGGGGATAGGTACGTGGCAGTATTAATGGGTCTACTTCGGCCTCTTAATCCTGATACATGGGAGGTGCCTGTCTCACCTCTTTAAGAATCTCCCTACATATAAATAGACATTCGTGTCAGCTTTCTGCAAATGTGTCCTTGCATTTTCGTCTGCTGCCAAGTGTTGTATTGGTGCTTATGACTCATGAAACCTATTTTCATCCTCAGGGGTAATTAACTTGGGGGTGATAATGCATAGCAGACTGTAGGAAGAGTTAATTCTAAAACCGGTCCTCGCCTGGCTACCAGTCACACATTTCTCTTAAAGGTCTGGCTTGGCTTTTCTCATAAGCTCATTAATAAAAATGGAGCATGTTTTGCCTGCAAGATCCTTTAAGGTGCTCCCAACCCCCACTCTCAATGCACACTCCTGAAGTGGGTAGGCTCCACAGCCTGAGAATAGGGAGCATCTTGGGTGTAATTTAACCACCACTGAAGGAAGAGGCGCGCATGAGCTTAGATGGGTAGATTACCTGTCTGGGTGCGGATCCTCTGAGTAGTGTCTGGTGGCTTCAGTGCACATCCTGCCCTGTTATCTGCCTCCACGAGTACATGGGCTCCTGCCTGCCTGCAAATGTCTCGTCCTTGCTCTGGTATTATTTTCAGGAACTTGTAGGCTTACAAGACCTTTGATTACTAGTGCACGTAGGTAGGCAGAGGGTCCTGTCATTAAGAGCTGAGAACAGTGTAGTTTTCTCCCCCTTGTTGCCAGGTGCTATTATTAGCAGGAAAAGCAGTAGCTGTAATAATAGGCATCCAGCAAAGGAAGCCAGCTCGGTTTCACTAAGGGAGGCAGCCTGACTTGATGAGACCTGGGGAGGTGGAGAAAGAGAGGATGGGAGGCAGGGAGTGGCTGGGGTGGAACACTTAGGCTGGAAGTGAATTATAATGGTGCAGTTAATTAAAGTTTACTATGGCCAGGGGCCATTTGCTAAACGGTGGAGCTTCCTTTTTTTTTTTTTTTTCAGACACGTGACCTTTCTCTTCCTGAACTCATTCAGCTGCTGGTCTGGTTGCCTTAACCAGTTTTGATAGGATCTTAGGTAGGATTCCCCCTTCCCTGAAGCGTTCCCTGCTGGATACCTAAGCAGCATTTTCCGTCTCTGGAATGCGAGGACTCTGTGGCTTTCTCAGAGACCCAGAGGGTCATCTCCATGTCACCTGGGGTCTTCCTACCCATCTCCCCTCCTCCCCACTCAGAGTCATAGTGGCCAACATTGAAAAATCCATACTGCACCTATTTGTAGGGGCTTCTTCCTAATCCAAGCTGGATGCTCCTTAAGTGGGTATGGTAGGAGGGCAGTGAAGACTCAATTCAACAGCATGGAGAAAACAGGCTGACGGGGGTCTTGTCTCTGACCTCAGAGGGCAGCGCTGGGGTTGCCCAGGCATGAGGACAGCAGCCTCATCAGGCCTGAGTTAAGGCAAGGTGCATTTTCACACATGGCCACCTGGCCTGGCTGATGTGACTGGTACTGAAATTCACTTTTGTTTTCTTCTCTTTTTCTTTGGGAGGGGGCATTTTGTTTTTATTTTTGAGACATAGTCTTAGGGGAGGTTTATTTATTTATTTATTTATTTTTTGCGGTACCAGGGTTTGAATTCAGAGCCTTGCGCTTGCCAGGCAAGCACTTATTCTACTGAGCTATCTCCCCGGCCCAGGGGAGGTTTATTTTTTGCTTTTGGTGCCTAGAACCAAATCCAGGGCTTCCAGCTTGCTAGACAAGCATTCTTTATAT